CGTCGAGCGTGCGCAGCTACTCGTCGTACTCGTCGGACCGCAGCCGCGGGGCGCGGCGTAGCCGGAGCTACTCCTCCTCGCGCGGGTCGTCGGTCTCGCATGATCACCGGGAGCGTCGCGGGCGTCGCGATCGTCGTCGCAGCGGGGGGAGTCGCCGGGCCTAAAGGAACGAAAAATAAAAAGGGCGGAAACCACCACAACGAAAAATGAAACTAACCATCTCTTCCTTTTTAACTAATAGGTATAATATTGAAGAAGGAGAAAGAAAGCATAAGAAATATAATCGCAAAGATAAGGCAATTAAGTCGAGGAAGTAAGCTAGAGGACAGATGCCACCCTGTGACAGAGTTCAGGAGACGCACGTGCCCCCATGTAGGTTTTATCTTCTCTTCCGCTACCGAGTGTGGTCTCACTAACGGACCTCAAGGCAAGATCACGGCTCGTTGAGGGGTGGGGGTTATTCCTCATCCTAAGATGATTTCCGCAATGAATATGAGTTGATAACCGGTTGTGGTTGCCACGTTATTTATATATTTTTGTCGGTGTTTGTATTTTTGTATGAGTGTTTTAAGCTGTCTCTGGATTGTTTTTTTTCTTTGGTAGGCTACGTTTAGTTAGTATCTTTTGGCGTGCATTGTGAGAGTCGAGTGTGGCGATTTTTCACTAGCAGATGGGACCCATGTTCCATCCGCTAAGATTGCCATAAGCACAGCCATACAGCTCTTTTTCTTTCATTAAACGTTCAGCAACAAAAAAAGAAGGAAAATATGAGGAGGTGATGTACCGCTCGGGAGAAATTTTGAGTGTAAAAATAAAGGAAAATTGTAAAAAAGAGGGTGAAAATCTTACTCGATAGATTTGATATAATGCCAATCGATGCCATTAAAGGAAAAGTATATATATATATGTATATATATGTATACATCCATACATACATAGAGTGACATTGACGGAGACGCTGAGAATCCCTCCTTAAAAATTTGTATTTGACCTTGGTTCCATCCTAATATAGCATACCCCTTATACAAATCCCCAAATAAGGAGCAGACGCTACGTACCTGGCTCTCTGTTTCCCCCCTGTTCGACTCCCGTGTTGTTTTCTGTTCCCTATCTTGTGTGCTTCTCCCGAGGCACATGCTCGTCCTTATCGTTCCACAAGTGCAATTCGATTCCATTTCCTTCGCTCTCTTCCCCTTTTCTTGTTTGTTAAATATTTTTTACAAACTCTTCAAAGGTTTTTTTGTGTAGTTGTTCGTTTTATTTTTTTGGTCCCCTTCCTTTTTGATTTTCTGTCTATTTCACGCATCACACTAAAAAAAAAAAGAGCTTACCATGTAGATTGTATATATGCTCTTTGTCCGCTCGAATTGGTGTGTCAAAGAAGTTTCAAAAGAAATAAGTGTTGTATTTAATTGTGGTGTTTTGGTGAACATGCGAGTGAGCTTTTTCCTTGTTTGAGTGTAACAGGGTTATGCGGCGTCGCTTGGATGTTCTTATAAGTTCTTCTATTTGTTTACGAATGGGTATGTGGTTTGGGCTTCTTATTCCTGGATAAACACACCAGTTTGATGGATGGGAGGGATTTTAGAAGGGGACCATTACATTCATATCAAGCACTCTTCCCTCTCTAGATATGTGGGAAAATAGATTCAAATAATCAATACATTCTTAGATCGCATGCACATCCATCAAGCAAGTAGCAACAACGCTATAAAAAGGATTCTTTATTATTCACTTCAGTTATATTCATCCCTCTTCTTATTTTTTTCCCTTGCTAATATTTTGAACTAATGGTGCGGGGTAGGGTTGTGAGATTTGTTGGTGAGGATGGAGGTAAATGCAGCCTCTATGCAACACTGCACCAAATAATTTTGGATAAGGAGAAGAGAGTGGTGATACTACTTTTCCTGCCTCTTCCGAGTAGGGAAGGAATGGAATTTATGTGAACTGAAGTGGCGGAGAGTAGAGAATAGCGTATGTTGTCTGCCTCGTATTGTGCGTCGGATAACTATACGGCGTATGTAGAACTGCTTTGTATATTCATTGTTCAACTTCCATAATCGACAACTAGCGAAACGGTATGTACATATGGACATATATACTCTTTTAGGGCCACTTTACTGTTGCTAGTAAACCTTGGTTATCTAATAACATTTTAATCCCAATCGTGTAACGGCTTCTCGTTACATTGCTACATGTAGTTTATACTATATGGTGAATATTATTTTACTTTTATTTGTCGCTCTTGTTTTTGTTCTTTTCATGATTAAAAATTCACATTTAGGTTCAAAAGCGACCATATATTAGCATTTAAAGAAAAGTATTCTTTCGATATTTTATTTAATAAAGGACTACATTAAATTAGGGCTGAGTTGTTTATTTTAGGCACCCATACAGAGGGTGCACACTTTTAGCACTGAATACCTCTCTCTTTCCCGATATACATATAATAAACATAAGAGTACCTTTTCAAACACTCAAAGTCATTCTTTTGTTAATAGCATAAGTACCCTCTATACGTTTGGGATCATTTTCCCCCAAGTTTGTGTTTATTTTGTTTCCTTTGTCGCCGTGATAATATATATAGTAGTGTGCTTGGATAGGAAATGAAAGCGAGATCAGAACTCATCGTCCCCCCAGGGACCGCAGCGGTGACTCTTTCCACCCCGTCGGACGCGTCGTCGACAACGCATATCACGCAATCGTACACGGCGTCATCCTTCGCGTCGATTCTCGGTTCCAAGACTTTCTGCACCGTTTGCGGCACCTTTGGTGATAGGCTTGTACTGCGTAAATCTGGGCTCAAGTGCCCAAAGTGTGTGGGGCGCCCCTCCAAGCGCTACTGGTCGAAACTTCAGAAGCAGCAGGCTCGACAACTCCTCACACATATGACGGGATCGGACTTTGACATTCTGCACCCATCCGGAGAGGAGCTCAACACACAGAATGTCGACAAAAGCGTGCATCGCTGCTGCAACAATCACCCCCAAGAGGAGCGACCCGCTCCGAGCATCCCCAACATCGAGGTGCCGCCTCTTTTAATCCACGACGACAAGCCCGCGCCGGCGACGGACCACCTCAACCTCAAGACGCTCCCGATCGCCGAGTACATCAGCGGTACGGTGTGCTTCCAGAAGGCCCTTCAGCAGCACAGCAATATGTCAACTGCGCGACATGCCTCACCTCGATTACCGGGCGACGCCAGCGGGCCGCCCCCCCCCTCTTCCGCCGGGAACCCGCACTCCTCGTTAACGCACGAGCCGAAGTCGCTTTCCTTTCCGACCTTCCCGGCGTCGAAGAAGGGGTCGCTGGGCCTTGAGGACACCGCGGCGAGCGTGCCGATGGCGTTCTGCCGGCAGTCCACGGCGGTGCCCAACCCCCC